TGGAACTGGTAAATTTTACCAGCTACTTCATCAAACCACCACCTCCGCCCGTCTAGGGATATTAAGTTGAGCCACGTCACCAGGCCTAGTTTGGCCGAATCCAAACCAGTGCCTGGTGGCCTCTGTGTAGACAGGCCTACTCGGCCAAGCCCTTCCCAGCCCACTGGACAGCTCTACGCCCACCAACCCTTTTAGGCGGAAGATTGATTTAGTCAAATGATTTTGATTGAACAACTCTCTTAGCTTACCCAACTACTCTCTTCACCATCTGCAGAAAAACAATAGGCAAAAAAAGGGAAATGCACAGCCCGCTGAAATGAATTTAAAAAATGAAGCACAAAACAAGTATTAATGTATTAATTCACAAGTATAAAACACAAGTACGTACAAGTGTATAACAAAGAAATACCATTTAAGACCCCCTTGACAGTCATATGTCATATAAAACACACCTTACATACCAATGAATTAATTCACAAGTTACATTAAACACTCCATATTTCACATAAAGATACAACAAAGTAGAATTTATTTTGAAAGTGTGAAACAAATATTTACCCAATAGCATGGAATGATATAATCAGCGTTTCTTCATCAACCCTGACTTCTATTTCGTGAATGCTCGATGGACCTCAAGTTGTTATACATATCTGAACAAGCAAGAGAAAAATCTGACAGTGCCTCAAAAAGTCCTGGTAAATTGCTTTTGAGGCTCGCCATAGATCTCTCTCTGACCTGCATGCACAGCCTTTGGTATGCTTCCTCATCACCTCTCAATTTCAATTTTGCTGCTTCAACAATATGCTCCCTTTCTGCAATAAAATCCTTATCGTGTGCTCTATCTGCATCCATTACATCAGGTGGGGTTCTCCTCTGTATATATTTATTATGCCAATTCTTGAACTCGCGGGACCTTCTCATAAGCTCCTTCTCCGACTCTGCACATTTGTTTCTTAAGTCCAACTCCTCTTTCTGATCCTGCCATATAGTCTGAGTCTGAACAGCAAAATTTTTAATAGTTGATTTCGGCTCATCAGGAATCTTCTGGAGGTAATACTGCCAGTCTTGCAAAAGTGTCTGTAATGGGGGATTTTGGGTCCCACGGGGAGATGAAACTTTCTCTTTCAAGTTTGTATCTATAGGAATGAGATTTAACTTCAACCAGTCGTCGAGAGATTTAATATATTCTTTCTGCTGAGACACGAGTTCACTTAAACGTGAATGACAATCCTGAACAACATAACATAAAAGTTGAGTGCGCTCGTGGTGGTGGTCACTTGTTTGTTTAGGAGATTGAGGAATGTCCACATGCTTCAAAGCTAGCACAATTTTAGATTGTTTTTCATGGTACATTCTCATCGTTTTCCACATTATAGCCATCCTGTGATCAATAAGAAAGGACTTAATATAGTTTTTAAGGTTAATAAGGATTAAAAAAAAGAAAAAAAGAAAAAGAAAAAGAAAGCTAACTTTATAGGGTCGTATATGTGAAAACCTTTACAGAAATTGTAATTTTCTAAAAACAATTTTCTTCAAAATTGGCTCGAGAACGAAATTTAAAAAATAAAAGTTATAAAATTTAGGTAATTTAAATGCTGATTACAATGCATAACCATGAATATCCATCAGTCTATCATTTAGAGGGGATCCTCATGGCTTTGACCAAATACCTGGCTTGGACCAATTTACCATCTCATCTAAAAGATTAAGATGATAGAGAGAGGACAAACATATTTATTTAAACTATATCTTCAAGGGGCACCTCACATACATCAAAGGCCAACATGAGCAAAATTTTCATGATAGATGATATCTGGACTTGAGTTAAGGAACTTTAAGTGCTCTGTTACCAAGTCAAGTCACATCAATTTAACAGCTTTAGTTGTTATTGAAAGGACAAATATATTTATTTTAATTACATCCTCAACAAGAACAATGCAATCTTGTGTAAAGAACTTTGCAGTAACAAAAGGGAAAAATCAAATTTGATATTCATTTGCAATAGGGATAAAAATAAATGGAAGATACATAGGCTAACTGATTTTTGAAGTAGTAAGAAAAATGAAACCTGGAAGTTCATGTAAATGAAGATAAGCAAGAGAAACTTATGGTATCATATTAAGGTTACGTGTTTCATGAAGCGATCATGGTATATGCCACACTAATTATTTTGCTTATAACAAATGCTAATGGAAGCAAGCTACAGATCATCAACAACGGCTAGACAATAGGCAGTATTTCTCATAGCAGCGTAGGAACTTACGCATCAACAAGGGTAACAAGTTTCGGATACAGGTGATCATTGCACAAACTATTAATTTCTGAAACGGTGGAGTCCATGGATTGCATGTCAACAATGTATCTGGTATGCAGATGACTAACTGCTGCTTTCATCCTTTCTAAGGCGCCTGTGTTTGAGCCATGTTTCTTCAACTTATTCAACGAAGCTACCTTTTTCTGATATTCAAGTTTCATTTGCTCACCTGCCTGTAGCATCAAAGACAAACCACAAACTATTCTTAATGGAGAGAGAGATTCAGAGACAAACATTACACGGCATTAAGTGGCAAAGAAACAGAGAATATTTTGTGGGATTCAAAAAATTTATCATCTTCGCCATTACTAATAAATAAATATTGATCACTAGATACAGCAGGATATTTCTGGTATGTGTTCATCAAATATGGGCCACATCAGGAATTCAGGATACATATATAAGGGTAGACAGTGAAGGCCACAGAGATGAATCAAGCAGTCAAGATACAAAACTATAATGAAGAATCTTGTTTTAACACTAATCAATTGAATACCAAGAAAAAAAGAAAGAAAATTGATTGGGACTGCTCTCTCATTCCGGTAGCAGCAATGAATGTCCAAAACCGACATTTTTTTGCAACAACAAAATTAGGAGATACCATGTCAAATTCAAGAATCATAGGCTAAAATCTAATTTTATTACAAGGGAAATCTATACCATTTCTTGAAAGCGTAGGACTGACTAAATGTATACTTGGCTTGTCTCCTCCTTTTATGACGACAAATATCCTCTACAAAATTTTGATTGGTTTTCACTTTACATCTTAATCCCTTCAGTATAATATTTTGACTGGATATGAACATATATACCTCCCTCTTTAGATTTTGATTTACATTACATTTCAGTAGTTTTGATTAACTAGAATTTTACAAGAAAAGGTTGTTGATTATTAGAGGTTTTTTAAGATTTAAGTTTTCATTTAATTAAAACACCATCTAAATCTGAGTGGGATGTCCACTTAGACCCAGCAAGCCAGCAGGAGTTGGCTATACCCCAACCATGAAAGTTATACAATTATCTTTGAGATTTAAGTTCTTTATCCTATGTAAAGGAACCTGGGATTTCATTTATATTCATACTATAGTAATTATTGATATTAAATATAGATTTCTTCCTCCTAAATTCTTCTTTTATTATATCATCTCTAATTCTCATTCTGAGAAAGTTCTGTGTCAATTTGATATCAGAGCTAACTCATCAGTCACACGCTTAATTTCTTTGACATGGTGTCAAATTCAACACTGTCACACGTTGCTGGTTTCCAGTTGTACATGCCCTCACTGGAGTTTCTGATTGAGGTTTGAAGCAATGAACCTAGGATACCAGTATCTAAAAGCCAATCAATGGCAAAAACTTCAATGAAAGCACCAAATTTAGATTTTGATGCTTGGTAGAATACTATATAAAAATTGAAGCTGTTAAACAAAGTTGTTCACAATATTCAAAATTAACAACAAAATGTAAGAAAAATTTTCGAATTCAACCACCTTATTGAGAATAAGATGAAATTTAGAAACTCTTCCATTTTTAAGTATAACTTTTTTGATGAAAATTAAACAAGATGATTACTAAAGAAACAAAGTCTAAAGATCCACCGAATATATATGACAAGTTGAACATAAATATTAATGTGCATACTTTAACTTCATCATAAAGCTTCTTCTCCCATGCCAGCATCTTGTCCAATACTGTTGCATGAGTCTCGTGCTCGTCAGAATCAGAGTCGTCAACTCCATCATCTAAGTCGGGTAAACCTTTGAAGGACCTATTCCATGTAATGACGCGCATGACCCTAGTAGAATGATCAATGTGCCCTATAAAGAAAAGACTGTAGTATTTATACATCAAATGAATACTTCATGGCTCATCTGAACTATTGGACTAGCTCTTGTTCCGACTCCAAGCCAAAATATAATAAAAGCTATTTTTCTTATAGTTTCAATGACTACGCGACTACACTTAATGCAGATGCAATTTCTTTTTATCTTTCTTTGCAAAGCCATTTGTTATTTTTCACGTAAGCTTTTATGTAATCATCAAATAGTGAAAGGATCATTCAACCACTGACAGGACAGTTAGACTGACACTCTTTCCAATCCAAACTAAAATTATGATCATATTGAACATTTGCTGTAAACTACCATGATTAAGGTGAAAGAACTTCCCTTGATAAAGTATATTAATTTGGTATGTAAACTATTCAATATTCATACTGAATAAGCATTATTGTTATCAGTTTATTCCGAGGCCATTACTATGCGATTCTAGCCACATTAAACACCAACTATATATATTATACCTCTTTTATCTGCAAAATTTGAGTGATAATGCAAGCGGGTCGCCTCGAGCAACCTAGATACATCATGAGCACTCTCGCAAGCCTTGAGAAAACAATCATCAAAATCCACAAATATTTGCAATAAGTTTGTATTACTCGGTCCACCTTTCATTATCCCTTCTGCTGGAGCCCCCATTTTCACTCTCTTGGCCAGCTTTGTTGCCACTACTTTTTGAGTCGGAGGAGGCTGTTTTGAAAGATTCACTGTGCCTTCCACCACTTCAGCGGCCACCTCCACCTTCTGAACCCTCCTCCCTCCATCAATTTCACCATCCATTTCACTTTTCTTAGCCCTTTCTTCTCGCATTTTTCGCTCAATTTCCTGTCCCTGGTAGTGATCATCCTCAACATCAGCCAGTGTCGACCTTTGCATATCCGGCTCCAAGAAATAATCCCAAGAATTGTCGTTATTCATAGCAGAAGGAGGAGGAGGAGGACGGGCTAGATGCTTGTGATCAGGTTCATTTGGCAGCATTGGCGGAGGTGGCTTCTGCAAGACCTCTTCCTCAGTAACCTCCTTATGTGAAAGTCCATCTCTCCTTCCCATACTACCCCGTGCACTACTCTTACTGCTGCGATGCTTCAAATTATGAGTACTCTCATTTTCAATGTCCTCTTCGCTCTCCTCCTCAGTTATCGAGTTCGTACGCTTTAGTTCAGTTCGAAATTCAGGAACAGTAGACGCCCGCTGTAGTGGTGAAGGAGTCGGATTGAACGGAGGCAAGGGAGGAGGGAAAGAAGAAATGCTATCATGAGGCAGAATTGGTGGCTGAATGGTGGCATCAGCACCAATTCCACCTCCACTGCCACTGCCGCCGGCAGGATATACAACTTCTCCATGAGCAAAGTCACTAAGGGCGGCACCGATGTTCTTCAAGGACATCGCGTAGGACGAGTGGGCAGCCGCAAACTTGTTGCGGGCCGCTACGCCCCGCTCCATATACTGCTTCCGCTCCCTGCATCGATTTACAGTTTCTTCATCCTCGATGTTAGATTGCGTGCAGCCCATTAATCCCCGCCTACAAATCAACAAGAAATTACACACACAGTGATTACAATAAGAGAATTGGGTCAATTGCAATCGGCGAGCGAAGAGAAGAAATTGCTTTTACTGCTTTCTTCTGTTTTGGGAGAATAAAAAACGAAGCTTTGCTAGCAAGAGAAGACTACGATATCGTTTCACTACAATAAAAAGAGTAACTCCGAATAGCAGTCTTTACAATTACAGGGAAGATGACAAGTGAAGGAGGAAGTAATATGGAGTTATTTAAGGATATTCCAATACGCCAGCCTGCAAGTCAAGTCTTAGCTCGCACACCTTCTTGACAATTCTACTCCAGTTTACTGTTTATCTTTCATTCTAACTTTTGGGACCAAATACTAATAATCCAGAGAAAATTTCATTGAAGGACATCTAACTTATAGGTTTATTTGGAATTAGTCACCAAAGTTTAAATTACTTACCCAACTAATGGATAAATACGTTTGCTTATAGGAATGTGAGTTTTCTAATGGCGGCAAAATAAAATCACATTCCATCGACGTCACACGTGGACACTGGCGGACCCAATGTTTACGGGTCACTTGACATCCCAACTTTTGAGATTTTCTCTCTGCTTCTTTTATTTTTTATTTTTAGATAAACTCTTGTTTGGTATTGATTGAAATCTAAATTAAAATAAATAATTATTTTTAATAACATATTTCATAGAATCCTTAACTTTTTAACTTTTATCAAAATTTACTAAAAATTTGATTTTTGTGCCCACCTAAATTTGAATTCTCTCGTTTTTCTTTTGCTCTATATATCTTTCTCACTCATTTTATGACAACCTTAATCTTTCTAAATTTTTAAAATTTGCTTATACTTTCTCTACAAATTATAACATTTACTACAAATTTTTAACTAATTAGAACCTAAATTTACATTTTCTTCTTTTCTATTTGGGTATATAGAATGTGTCTAAACTGATTATATAAAATTTAACTTATATTTAACGAATTGTATTTATTTAACTTATTATTAGTATTGAATATTGGTTATATATTTTTCCTTTCGATTACTTAATTTGATTGTTTGCATCAAATAC